AGCCCTAAAACTCTAGGATTTAAGGTGTTATATTGGACTGTCACCTTAAAACCTCTTGTTAACCACATTACCTAAACAAATATTTATGCTGCAGATAAGAGCATAGGGAGTTTCACATGCTAGCGATTTTTCCGTGGAGCAGCTGATTCTGTGCTCACCTCAGCTGAAGTAAACTCTTTTTTAGCACATTACTCATTATTTCTGTATTGGTTTTAATTTTTTGATGGGATTTTTTTTTTTTTTTATTAGATTAAAAGATTTTTTTTTTTTTTTTTTTTTTTTTTTTTTTCATTGATAATTTTTCTTTTATTTTTAGGTCACCATTCATCCTATAATGATAATGATTCTGATGATGCAAGTTCAGAGGAAGAATGGAGAGGTGAGTTGTTCTTGATATGTTTATGCATGATTATAGAACTGTATGTTAAACCTACCTGAGAATGTGGATAGACTCGTGTCCATGATATCCTAGATTTATTCACCTCTAGCTAGAATGTGTTTTTTTTTTTTTTTTTCTTTCTTTTTTCTTTTTTTCTTTTTCATTTCTTGTTTGATTTCGTTTTATTTTCTTTCTTTAATTTGTCTTGTAATAGTAATGGAGGAATATGTTTATTGTTTTCATATATTGTTTTCATATATTTAGTAGGAGTTTCAGATAACTATAGATACATTTGGCCTGATTTCTATACTCACAAATGATAAGAAGTTTAGAAAAGGTTCTCTTATAATATTCCAAGATATGAAATTGAAATCCAGATTTGACATTTGAACTGCCTATTTGACCAGTATGGTAAAAGAGAGAGAAGAAAAATATCGTATTAAGATACAGTAGACAGTACTACAGAAAACTCATAAATTTTTAAAAATATTTATACCAGAACAGGGTATCAAAATTTTAATCATACTGTATTACATAGAATGATTTTTAATGTGCCATTTGCAATGAACAAAGTGATGCAAAAATTGAAAAATTGCAAACATGTTGGAATATAAATATTTATTTTTTATAGAGCCAAAAAGTCCTCTTTTCTTCTCCCTGCCTCTTGCTTCTCTTCTTCCTCCACTTTCTTTTACTCCCTGTCCTCGTCTCTTCTTTTTCTAGTTTTTTTTTTTCTCTCCTCTACGCCTGTTTCCTCATCTTTATCTTTTTCTTCCTCCTCCTCTTTCTCAATCTCATTCTCTAGCTCTTCCTCTTCTTCTTCCTCCTCCTCCTCTAGCTCTTCCTCCTCCTCCTCTAGCTCTTCCTCCTCCTCCTCTAGCTCTTCCTCCTCCTCCTCCTCCTCCTCCTCCTCCTCTTCCTCCTCCTCCTCCTCTTCCTCCTCCTCCTCTTCCTCCTCCTCCTCCTCCTCCTCCTCCTCTTCCTCCTCCTCCTCCTCCTCCTCCTCCTCCTCCTCCTCCTCCTCCTCCTCCTCCTCCTCCTCCTCCTCTTCTTCTTCCTCCCCCCCTTTCACTTCTTTCTCCTCCCCCCTCCACATCCTCCCCCTTCTTCCTTCTCCAAAATCTCCTGCCCCTCACCATTCAATATAAAAACAATTTTGGCTTTTACTCTTTATTACCATGCCATATGAAAATTGATATTTCCAAACACATATTTATAATTTTAAAATACCAGAGTTTGTGAAATTGAATCTTCACACAAATTTAGACAATTATTTTTTTACTTTTCGTATTGGCTGAAAAGGAAAATGAATTTAGCATTTTCACAACAGCTGGTTTAACATGCAGCACCAAAAAGGCTTATCTCTTCGCAAGAGCACATGGATGTGTGGTCTTTGGAGGGGAAGCCAAGAGTAAAGGTGTAAGCACATGTAACATTTCTTATCCTGCTTGGTATGATGAATATTCAGTGCATGAGTTCTGTTTGCAAAGTACACAGGCATGCAGTTGCTTTGATAGTTGATGCAGCTTCATTGGTCAGGTTTTTAATAAAGTTTAAAGAGTAATGGATTTCCTCGGTTGTAGTTATTGATAAGAATACAGTCATTGTAAACTGAGGAAAGATAGTAAAAGCCATTTGAGAAATAACCAGCTGTTTGTTGTATTATTGATAGAGCTAGACTTTTTTTTTGTGTTTATCCTGATATGTAGTTATGTTTATCCATGAATATTTATGGTGAGGGAAAAAAATGATGCTAAGAATTGGATAGAATTGTGCAGCTTTGTAAATACTGACCGAAATGAATCACAAAACCAGAATTGTGCACAAAATCAGAGCCACTGATCTTAAGTCAAGAATCTTAACCAGTTGTAGAAATTAATGAAAATAGAAATTAGAAAAATGTATCTGAAAGAGTTTTTTCTCCACAACAGTCCTGTGCCGTAATGGAGATGCACGAAATCACATTGCAAAAGCAAACCATGATCTAACAGGTGCAGAAAAGGAGAGGAAGAAAGCTGAGAAAAGAAGAGCGAAAAAGAAAAGAAGGAAAGAAAAGAAAAAAATAGAAAAGTTAGAAAATCAGATATTTAATCAAAATTCAAATAATAATAATGATAAGAG